CAGAGAAAGAAGATCTCCGCTCGTAGAGACCACGAGGAGTAGAATTTATTTTGGAATTCAATAAGCTACATGTGGGGGAAAAACGACCGCGTTAAAGAAACGACGCGCACGTTTAAAAATATGCGATAAGTCGACGAGTCCCCAAGCGCGGCAGGAAATGTGGACAAATAATCCGACGTAGAAAAATTTGTCAATTTAACGTTGCGACGATTAAATATCGGTAGAATTTTTGCAATTCGGCGAGAGAAAAAATTAAATTTCGGCGTTTTTGAGAAATATCTATTTAAATTTAATTCGATGCGCGTCCGAGAATGATCTCTTTTGTTAATTTGGCACATACCGGTCCACATCCTGAAGAATAATGCATCGACATTGGAAGAATTGGGAAAATACAACGGCAATAGAGGAGAAGATGCGATCACGGGACGTTACAAATACGCGTCTCACGCGGATCGAGCTTTCGGATTCGGAAATTCTTCGGAGTCTTGTACCGAGTTACGTCGATGATATGTATCGGCAAAAGCGAAAGACTTTCCGCCCGATGATGCGGTTATTATTCCCTCCAGAAAAACGTCCCCGCCTTCGAGCTCTTCCCTTAGGATTAGATCTCGCTAAGTGTGCAATAAGATTTTGATATTGGGACTTTGTTTTAAGTTTTAGAAATACGTTTAGATAGGCCGTTTCTTACATAGATAGTAAAGATTGGTGGCAGCAAGCGATAAGTTAATTTGATTATTAATTGTTTACACATACACACACGTGCAAAAAGCGCGAACCGATGTCTTTAACACTGCGATTCTTTCAGTCCAGCGGAATTCAAAATGAGGCCTTGAAATTATTCGAGAATTATCTTCTGCTATCTTTCGGTGTCTGAGAGACAACAATAAAAAATCACTCCGATCGAGTTACACGAATCTCCCGTTTGCACGTGAATATTTTACAACGCATCTCTGTGCATTGCGTGCGGTTTCGTGTCGCCCTTTACACGGTTTTCGATACTTAATCCTTAGAGACTTATTTAAAGGCAGCTCTTCCTACACTACAATTCGTACATACATACACAATTCACACGTATGATAAGTATATAGGTTGATAGAAGGAAGAGACAAGGCAGCGTTGGAGTATATCCTGTAGTTAGAGAGAGGGATACTAGGGCGGATAACATTTCGTGACATGCATGGCTGCATGTAGAATTTCAAGACACGAGAGCCTTCGAAAAATTTCTGTCAATCTGTTTTTTGTGGAATAGCATAACAACTTTCACAAGTTGCAAATTATGTACGTAGGAAAACCATTATAACTTGTCGAGAATAAAATTTAATGGTTTAGAAGATATCCTGATTATTGTAATGCAATTTTCAGAGGCTCACGTGTCTACTGGTCTTAGAAGGTAGTATGTGTGTGCGTCTCTTTATTTGTCTTGATTTGAGAGATAATTTGCATAATTGGAGCTGAATACGCGATGGACCGAAAGGGGATGATAGAGAGGAGTGAATGGTCAAAATTTCATTGTAGCTCGTTTTGCAGAGTTCAAAATTTCGCGTAGACACAGTAGAATAGACGCCGGTTCGTTGCATTGGCGAATTCGAAAGGATTTTTCGATTTGATGTTCGCTTTTGCGTTTATCACGCGTGGATGGTGAAAAAATGATGTTCAAACGTCAAAAGTTTCGCATTCAAGCCAAACTCGAGATTAACGTTCGAATCCTTTTGTTTCTCGATATGGTAACGAGAGAGGATATGTATCAAGCAAAAAGAAGTAATTAGCAAGATTTTCACATTTTGTTTTCACTTTGAGAGAACTTGAGCTACACTATAAAAAAAAAATTCAAGTTACAAGATCTCGAGTATAGCTGAGCGTACAGTTGACCTGATGAGGCACGTTTCGAATTTTTATTTATATTTATTTAGACGATTTATATCTCTCGTTGCCGCCGTAGCCAATACAACATGCCGAGCTTCGAGAAAGTTTGGCCTCGCACCCGCAACGCGGGGGAGAACAGGCCTGACATTCTCTTTGAAGCGAAGCGTGCAAGCGAAGCAAGAGTTTTTCTTTTATCGGGTCAAGGCGAGGCTTAGCGACCAATGACACGCTATTTTGTCGCCATCCTGCAGGGGATAAAGACAGAGGGCTAAAAATCAATTGCAAAACAAAAAACAAACAATCGAAAAAACATGACGCAGGGCAAGGCATTGACTGGGGGGCCAGGCGCGGCGGGATGGATGCAACAACGCGAGGCGGTGCCCGAATTTCCGCCACTCCACGATTCAGCGGACTCTGATTCCGACCGGGAAAACGAAAAGCGACCGCGCGTCTAAGACCTGTATGTGTTTTTTTTCCCCCCTACTTTTTTCTCCCATCTTTTCTTTGCGTCGAGACAGACACGCGCACGCAATATTAGGCGAGAGAGATTGTGCGAACGATGCGTGTAGAGAGGAGCGAGCGAGAAATACATCTCTCGGAAACACACATATATACAAACACACACACGTACATACAATCTCCCTCATCGATACGACAGAAAACCACGCATATACGATACAAATCGTTTGCTAATGTGTTCCGAATGTGAGTAGCGTTCGTTTTCGATTAATTCTTCTCGTTTGGCTGTATAATTGGAAAAAGGGATACGTGCAGATGGATGCGTATCCAGATAATAGCCTGTCGCAGAAAACAAGATCTGATAACTTAACTGACTAGCTCTTGATATATACGTAAATATTCTCGGTGCACTTACAGCATCAAGTGAAGAATCTATCGCAAGACGATGAAGTCGCGTTCGCATCCCCTTCACGTATCCTCGATATCCGGTCTTGCCTTACCGAGCAATTTTAACGAGAATAATAGCAAAGACACGCGAGCGACGAAAGCGTAGGTCAATGTGTCCTTCTTACGGCACAAATTCGTTTCTTGGACGATAATGGAGGTTGACGTACACGCATCTAGCTAGGGAAAG